TGTTTATCATCTTTTACAACACTGATATTTTGACATGGTGACCCTCAATTTGGGCTTGTCTGATGTTTCCTCAAGATTAGACTCAGGTGATGCATATGAGGACTATCACAGCTGTGATGTCATGTGCTTCCCAGCACGTCCCATCAGGAGGTACCAGGTCATTTTGCCCCAATATTAGTGATGCTGAGCTAGATCACCTGGTTAAAATGGAGTCCGCTAGTTTTCTCCACTGTAAAGGTCTTTCTTCCCTTGTAATAAGTAAGTTATCTGTGGGTGATACTTGGAGACCTTGTTGCATCCACTTTTTTAAAAGTCTTAGTGACCAAAGAAAGCACATTTGTGGGGCAAATGTCATGTTACGAGTGCTCCCTCCCATCAGTTGGAAGCGTCCAGCTTAGGATCTTAGAGGGGTCTTAAGCAAACACCCTTCCATCATCCTGGTGAAGGAGTGGGGAGAGGGTTGGGGAACTACAAAGGGAGGCCCCTGGGAGTTTGGATGGGTGCAGGCATCTGCGATGGGACCCTCAAAGAGCACCTGTCTTCCTGCAGCTCCGGGATTGTGGAGGGCTGCGGGAAGTGGAGGTGACCGCGTGCCTGGTGTGGAAAGACTGGCCTCACCGAGTCCACCCACATAGCCTTGTGGGGAAAGACTGCACCGACGGCGTCTGCAGGGTGCGGCTCCGGCCTCATGTCAGCCCCCGGCACAGGTACCCGACCCTGGACCCCTGACCCCTTCGCCCTGATCATGGAGATTCTGAGGGGCTGAGATCACCCAGGGAAAAACCTTAGAACACAGGGCAACTTAATCAAACCCTCCCCACTGCATCTCCTAGATGGGGAGACCAAGACCTGGGGGCTGTGGAGGGCCTCACTTCGGCCTGGAGCTCTGCCATGCATACATTCACACACATTCTATTTATTCCCATTCTGTAGAGGGGGAAACTGAGGCTCAGAGAGGCTAAGGAGCACAGACAGTCGATAGCAGAGCTGAGATTTGACTTCAGACCTGACTTAACTGCAAGGCCCGCTCTTTCTCTCACTTTATGATTTATGAATTTTTAATAAATAAAAGATTCAAGGGTTCAGAAAGGATGTACAATGAAAAATAAGTTTCCTTCCAGCTTTGGCCCTCTAGCTACCAGTGCCCATTCCTGGAAACAACTAAAGATACACT